AAACTCGAAGAAACCTTTTTACATGCTTTCTATGTTCGTTTATAGCATTTAATCTCACTGAATTAGTGAACGCGAATGAGAATATGACTTACTAGTAAAACTCCGCGATGAAAGTCTACCGCGTGAAATTGAAGGTCGCCAACTTTATTTAATGATGGACTCTGCTCATGTCCCGAKAAAACGCTAAAGATATAAATTTTTGGCCACATACATCCTCAAAGAACATGCACATTCGATTCTACGATAGCCTGCATGTGAACTCGCAGATGAACGTATCGACACGTCATCCAATCCAAATATGGGTAATATTGCGCAATTTTTCCATTTTGTCGAGGAGGAAAAAAAAACAGACGTATTTTAAGACTGGTTTGCCACAGGCAACCCAGTAATTACTTATTTTTGATAGAGATTTGGTTCATAAYCCAGGCCTTAATATGCTTGAGAGGGGCGATGGAAACGAGTGTGTGACGGTTCAGTGATACATTGCTGACAAAATGAAATTTTTTGGGTTTCGYGTGACGTCATTTCCGGTCTGTTGCGGAATGTTCAACAGCTGAAAACTTCGAGGCCTCGCCCACTCTGATGCGCCTACACTAAAACAATCAAAAACGCAGTTTAAAAACGTTCCCTAGAGTAGACAGCGAAAACAGAGGCTTTTGAAAACTCTGAAGTCATTCACACTGGCACATCTGTATYTCGCATGCGCAGATGATGATATTACTGCAACATTTCCGATCGTATCTGCGTTTTTGAAAACGCTATAAAAGCGCTAGTATGGACAGTACGCGAAGCTTTAATTTGATGCGTTTTCGGCGAGAAATGAAAATGGAGGGTTTCGAAAAAGCATTAGTGTGGAGGTGATTTGGTACCTGATTGGAACACACCGATATTAGCCATTCCAAGGTTGTTGAAAAAACTGGGTCGAGTTGACATTGCAGTGCATTGTGGGACTGTTTAAGGAGATATTTCCAAGATGGCTTTTACTTCGGCAAAGCAACGTAATGCAATATCAATTCAACCCAGTTTTTTTTTTCGAACTCAGAATGGCCGACTCGAGCTCCGCGTGATCATATTCTCATCCAAAAAATTGTCCTGCTGGTCAGCGGGATGTGCAATGTGTGAGAATACTTCCTTAATTTATTGGTTTGTCACAAGTCGAGTGGCTTGTGGCAGTATTTTGGACTCACAAAAGTATACTAGCTTATATTTTTGTATTCTTGGAGAAAACGAACATTTGTTTTCTCACTAAAACTCCTCTATAAAATTCTTAGAAAAAGTCCTGGAAAGCACGCATGCGCAGACGTTTTTCTCTAACGTTTTACAGGCTTAAACTGCGTAGTCGATTCTCGCCTCAGGCCCCGTCCACACTATGCCGGATAAATTTGAATCCGCAACTTCCACCCAAAAAAAAAAAAAGTTTTCGGTCCACACAAGTAGTTTATCATGCCTATATGGCGCCTCCCCCCTCCCCCAAACATTATAGGGGGAGGGGGTGGTCTAGATATCAGAATAGAGGGGGAGGGGTGGTCATGAAGATGAGAGAAATGGAATGTACGACAGGGATCAAAGTACGAATTCCAATTACCAAGGCGGGAATTTGAAATATGAAATATGAATACATATTTTTATGGAGAGAAAAGTTTAAAAGCCCGATCAAAATCAGCAGAATCACTTGCTCATGACCTTCGTCGGAAAAACCCCACTCAGATAGATT